TTTATGAAATACTGACAGACACCTTAGAAATGGAATCTTCTATACTAGACTCTAAGCCACGTGAGATTGTGGCTGGGTCTGCCCAGGGGCATGAAATTGGAGTAAGGAGACACTAAAAATCACCTCAGTGACAGGAACCGTGACAGAGTCTCATCTGTCATCAGTCGGCTCATCTCTAGTAAACACAGCCCATTCATCTGAGAGAGATGCAGTTCCTCAAAAGATTTTTTTTCCATATAACAAATTACCCTGGACAGATAGCAAGATTTCATTGTTGGTTTTTTGAGGTTTTGTTTTGTTTTGTCTTAATTTAAAAGTCAAGTTGGCCTGGCCTCAGTGGCTCACACCTGTAATCCTAGATACTCAAGAGGCTGAGATCTGAGAATCATGGTTTGAAGCCAGCCAGGCAGAAAGCCTGTGAAACTCTTATTTCCAATGAACTAACAAAACACCAGAGGTGGAGATATTATTCAGATGGTAGAATGTCAGCCTTGAGCAAAAGATCAAGATTACAACTGTAATCCTAGCTTCTCTAGAGACTGAGGTCTGAGGATTATGGTTCGAAACAATGGATAGGAAAATCTCTTGAGACTCTTATCGCTAATTAAAACCAAAAAGCTGGAAGTGGAGCTATAGCTTGATTGGTTGAATGCTAGCATTAAGCAAAAAAAAAAAAAAACAAGGATAGCACCAAAGTTCTGAGTTCAAGTCCCAGGGCTGGCACAAAAAAAAGAAGAGGAAAAATAAAAAGCTAATGGGTAGCACCCAGGCCCTAAGCTCAATCCCTAGTGCTGGCACACAAAAAATAAAGTCATAAATGAAGACCTTGAAGACAGGTGACAGGATGTGAAAATAAATGCCCCCAGTAGTAATTTTTGTGCTATCTTTGCACAAAGAAAATCACTTTGTTCCCCAGTTTGGACGCAATGAAGGAATCTAGCCATTGTGTAAATTACTTAAAATTCCACAGTGCCTGCACTATTCGAGAGAGAAAAAAAAAAAGCAAACCTAGGAATTTGCAGCTGTGGCTCCCACGGAGGCTTCTAACTCGGGCAGCATGAGGTTTAGCACACAGCTGTTGCTCATTTGAGCTGAAGATTTTTTAATTGCCTTTGTGTCAAGATTTATTAAATAACATTTGAGAGAAACAAAAACTATAATAGTCATATTAGTAGGAGGCTGAAGAAAAATATAATAATAGTAATAACGGGAACATAGCATTCTTGCCTTGGAAGCCAAGTCTGAAAATATCTTTTCCACATAACCAGCTACCAGTCATCCTGGGAAGAGTTTCCAGGAAAATCCAAGCCATGGAAGCCCTGTGGCCTCCGCCAGAGCTCAGATGCTAGCTGCTCTCAGTCATTTATCTAGAAGTACTTCTCCTGAGCGGCCTCTTCTGATCCTACCCTCTCCCATCCTATTATATAGAGAGGCAAGAGTCGGGGTGCTTGAAACAAATGCAGCATTAGCCAGCAATGGGTTGCTCGCCTAAGTGGTCTGCATCATCTTTGCAAACCTCTGTAATTGCTGTTTTCCTAGTAGACTGGCTCATCCAAGACAATATGGCATGGGGGTGGGGAGGGGGGATAGGAGCCGGGGAGCTGAACCTTCCCCACTAGGCTTAGAGTAGCTGTCTGCGTGAACAGAAGATAAAACACATGGACCCTCCCAGGTTCTTCTGACAAGGCAAAGTAGGGGGAGGGAGCCTTTCTACTAAAACTAATGTTATCTTTTAAGGGAGAAGTCCCAACCACCAAACATAGTCTTCAACAAAAGAGGTAAACCAAGCAAACTGCAGAATAAAGTCGTAAATCTTCACTATCCAACTATAATCTCTATCATGCTTTGCCTTTTAACTTGTTTCCACGCAAAACATTTTAAGAGGCTGTCAACTACAGTTATTAGAATTATCCAAGTATCACTTATAAAGAGGCTGGGAAGGTGGCTCAGTGGTAGAGTGCTTGCCTTGCATGCATGAAGCCCTGGGTTCGATTCCTCAGTACCACATAAGCAGAAAAAGCTGGAAGTGGCACTGTGGCTCAAGTGTTAGAGCGCTAGCCTTGAGCTGAAGAGCTGAGGGACAGCGCCCAGGCCCGGAGTTCAGGCCCCACAACCGACAAAAATAAATAAATAAATAAAAGTCAGTATATCACATTAGACGATTCTACAAAATAAAAACAAAAATCCCACAGCGATAATAACCCCAGCAGTCCAAGAAAAACCCACATTAATAGTACAAATTATGAATACAATTTTAAAAAAGAAAAGAAAATCACATTAGACATTTAAACAGAGGTAACTACATTTATTCAAGAAATTCAGCGCTGCTGCTTAATGCCACTAAGGACACAGTTTTAGGTGTGATTTCACATGCTTTCAAAATGTCAGTACAGTCCCCATAGTAAAGCATCTTTGTGCGTGTCAAGTTTGTTTACTGTCATTACATTATACATCATACTTAAGACCATATCACCTCAAAATTAAACAATTTATCTTGTAAGTAGACACCAGCCAAAATTTAGCCTGAAAGATGAAAAAATTCAAAAACACTTTAATTCTTGAAGACAGATCTCAACATGTTTCAATGTATGAGTACTATTTACTTATAGAGACATGAAGTGTCCATTGAAAAGTGGAAATGGAGACTGGAGCCAGTGACTCATGCCTGTAATCCTAACTACTAAGGAGGCTGAGAACTGAGGGTTGAAGTTTAAAGTGAGCATAGGCAGAAAAGTCCATGAGGCTCTTTATCTCCAATTAAGCAGCAAAAAGCTGGAAGTAGAGGTATGGCTCAAGTGGAGGAGCACTACTCTTGAGCGAAAAGGCTAAGGGACAGCCCCCAGGCTCTGAGTTCAAGCCTAAGTCCCAGTATCACTACTCCCCGCTCCTCTGAAAAAAAAGAAAAAACTGGATTGAGACTCTGGAAAAATGAAATGCTCTGGAAAGACTAAGGGGCTTTTGTTGTTCATATTGTTCACATTGTTGTTGTTTGTTTTTTTGTGCCAGTCCTGGGGTTTAGGACGTAGGCACTGACTGTGAGTTTGTTGTTCAAGGCTAAGGGCTGTACCCCTTGAGCCACAATTCCACTTCTGGGTTTTTGGTAAATGCTTGGAGACAAGAGTCGGAAACATATGGTGATGATGGTCTGCTGGCTTAGCATTCCATACTCCAATTTCATATTTAAGTAGGTCGGATCAGGTTAGTCTTCCATAGATACTATGGTCCTAGAAGTGGGAAGAAGTGAGCATTCATTCATTCACACCAGTTATTAGTGTCAGCTTGTCAGTTACGGTCGGATTGGGCTGTGGATTGGTACAAAGACAACTTGTCTATTCTTTCTTTCTTTCTCTATTTATTTATTGTGCCAATCCTGTGGCTTGAACTCAGGGCCTGAACACTAGCCGTGAGCCTTTTTGCTCATGGCTAACACTCCACCATTTGAGCCACATCTCCACTCCCAGCTTTTCTGGGAGTTTATTGGAGATAAGAGTCTCATGGGGAAGGGGAAACAAAGGAGGAAACTACAATGCTTGATAAGAAATGTACTCATTATCTTGCCCATGTAATTGTAACCCCTCTGTACATTATTTTCACAATAAATAAAAAAGAGTCTCATGGACTTTGCTGCCTGGATTGGCTTTTAATCCTCAGATCACAGCCTCCTGAGTAGCTAGGATTACAGGCATGAGCCACCTCGCCCCACAGGAAGACAGGTTTTTGCTTTTGTCTTTTTTAATTTCATAGGCATGTAATGCTTAGGATAGTACGGTCCAAGTAAGCATTCAGTAAAGATTAGCTATTGATGTTTTTTAATGAAATATATTAGGATTTAGGAATTTGAGGGCAATGGAAAGAGTCAATGATGACATGTTCATCAAGGGGATATGATATATATTCAAAATTAATAAAAATGGCTGATATATATTATGTGTGTATGTGTGTCTCTGTGTGTGCATGTGTGTGTGTGTGTGTGTGTGAGAGAGAGAGAGAGAGAGAGAGAGAGAGAGAGAGAGAGGAAGAAAGAATCCTTTGGCAAATAACTACTTGTAATCTTCAAAAATGTCTTCAGAAAATGTTCCACACTGCTAGAGATCAGAAGAGCACTACAACCAAGGGCTCGCTGTGGTTCCCAGCTCAGCTCATCAGCTTCACAGGTCATTGTTGAGTCAACTGAGACAAGTGGCAGGAAGTTGAATGGGTCTGGGAACAGTATGTGTTTGTCCCTTGTGTGTAGGAAATGACAGAAAAACATTTCTAGAGGAATAGAACAACCAGCCCCATCCACACTCTCCCATGTATCAGAGTCTTCTTTGTACTTTATTCACAACTCAACTCTAAGTTTGTGATTGTTTGAAAATAAAAACTTTTCTTTTTCACCAACAGCTAGGATTTATTAAGTTTATTTCACTGAGTATGATGGCTCCTGAGCAGGTTCAGTTCCCCCAAGAAACCTCTCTGGTTTGCATGGCTACTGGAGTCATGAGCCTTTCCTCTGTGCCCTTTCAACAAGCAGATCCCAACCTAGGGACAACTTACAACTGCAGAACTACTGCCTGCTTTTGTCGCTAACATCTATGCCCCTCTCCTCCGGGAGATAGCTCTTTCAGCTCAGGACTGTGTCTGCTCTGGATGTGTCCATGGCGCCCTGAGCAGTCCTAACCCTCAATACATGCTTGTGCAGGAAGCATTCACACTTAAGATGACCACAGGTAAAAAGGAAGCACTAAGTCTGTGGCTCATGCCTGTAACCTTAGCTATTCATGATCTAAGGATCATGGTTCTAAGCCAGACAGAAGGAAAATCTATGGGGCTGTTATCTCCAGTTAACTGCCACAAAGCTGAAAGTAGAATTGTGGCTCAAAAGCCAGCCTTGAGCAGAAAAACCCTAGTTCAAGCCCTAGTACCTACACACACACACACACACACACACACACACACACACACACACACACACAGGTGACACAGGATGGAATGCATGCCTGACATGTCTCCCTTTCAAGGTGGCCCTGGCTCTGGCAAAGGCACACAGTGTGAGAAGCTGGTGGAAAAATATGGCTTTACTCATCTCTCCACTGGTGAACTCCTGCGTAAAGAACTAGCCTCCGAATCTGAAAGAAGCAAATTGATCAGAGACATCATGCAGCGTGGAGACCTGGTACCCTCGGTAAGCTACCCCCATCCTTCCCAGGAGACCACGCCCCGCCTCCCCAGGGAACCCCTCCCCCTCCTGCTTGGTAACCCGCAGCTGCCTTCCCCTACAGAGGTACCTACCTAGAGGGTTTAGATAGAAGTGGGTTTTATTTCTCCTTTACATGACAATCCAGAAACAAGCAGGTCTGCAACAGATGTTGCACCCAAGTCACAAGCTCCTTGGCCAGCTCTTTAAATTTCATCCTAGTCTTCGTTTCCCCCAAGTCAGGCCCCGACTTGACTAGTTCAAAGATCTTCAGAACAGAGGTGAGTGTGATAAGACACAGCCTAGAATTAGAAACCTTCAGGGAACAGAAAATAACCTTTTGATCTAGTTCTGCAGGGAGCTTCAGGGAATGAGAGCATTTGGCATTTTGTTTCTGTCATTTAAGAATATTCCTTTGTTAATACCTTTTTTTTTTCAAATCTTCATTCGTGTCAGCCATGTGTATCCAAAAATATTCATCTTACCCCAGGCAGGCACTGGTGGCTCGTGCCTAGCTACTCTGGAGACTGAGTTCTGAGAATTGTGGTTCAAAGCCAGCCTGATCAAGAAAGTCCAGGAGACTCTAACCTCTGATTGATTAACCACCAGAAAACTTGAAGGAGAGCTGTGGCTCTAATTAAGCAAAAGAGCTCAGAGACATCCCAGGTAGTTAGACAGACAGACAGACAGACAGACAGACAGACAGACAGACAGACAGACAGACAGACAGATAGATAGATAGATAGATAGATAGATAGATAGATAGATAGATAGAAGATAGATAACATCCTTGACCAACAAGATCCCAAGCCAGGCTCTGTAATTAGTTCTTGAGCCATACAGTCTCTGCTGGATAAGGATACAGGCTATGTCCCAGCTGGAAACATCTTGGTCAAAGGAAATCAGTCATGGCAGTCTTTTTTTTCTTTTTTCTTTGCCAGTACTGGAGTTTGAACTCAGGACCTGGAAGGGCACTGTTCTTTAGCTTTCTTGCTGAAGGCTAGCACTCTACTTACTTGAGTGATCGATCCACTTCTGGCTTCTTGGTGGTTAACTGGAAATAAGAGTCTCATGGACTTTCCTACTCTGGCTGACTTAGAACAGCAATCCTCAGATCTCAGCCTCCTGAGTAGCTACGATTACAGACATGAGCCACCAGTGCCCAGCTCCCCAGGCTTATTATTGTCACAGCAAGCAAGCCATTGCTTCAAAATATGTTTCTTCTGCAGAAACTTCCAGCAGCTTCCCATGACACTTAGAATGAAATGCAGAATCCTGTCCATGGACGTGGCCCCCAGACACCTCTCCAGGGTTATTCCCCTCCTCCCTCCCCATGCCGGCTCCCATTCACACACTCCTCATTCCTCTCACAGTCAGGCCGTTCCTGCCTCCAAGCCTTTGTACGGGCAATGTCCTCATCCTGAGTGATATTTCTTCATATAGTCACACAGTTTGCTCATGTCTTCCTCTAAATCTTTGTGTTGTGTTGTTGTTGTTGTTGTTGTTTTTTTAAGTCAGTTGTGGGGCTTGAACTCTGGGCCTGGGCGCTGTCCCTGAGCTCTTCGGGTCAAGACTAGCACTCTACCAGTTAAGCCACAGTGCCACTTTCAGTTTCTTAGTGGTTAATTGGAGATAAGAGTCTCACAAACTTTGCTACCTGGGCTGGCTTTGAACCATGATCCTCAGATCTCAGCCTCCTCAGTAGCTAGGATTACAGGTGAGAGCCCCCAGTGCCCAGCTTAAATCTTTGTTTTAATGTCAAAACTACATTTTGGGGGGGGGAAGGAGGGGGTTGTGCCAGCACCGGTGTTCTCCCTTAGCTTTTTCACTCAAAGCTGGCACTCTACCACTTACAAATGTGACAGCTTCTTCAGGAGGCCTTCCCTGACCACCTTATCTAGAATAGCGCCTCCAGCATTTTGTTCTCTCTTTGTCTTGCTTTAATTTTGTGCTTGTCAGTTGTCCCTTGCTAAATATTGTAATTATTTATATTTTTGTTGTCTCTCTCATCGAGCTATGATCTTCCTGAGGAAGATAATTTACAATTATCTAGAGAAAGATTTGGCCACCTGTAATGGCATTATTCCTCAAGCTCCTGCCAAAAGTCAGAGGACAGGGAGCTCCTCCCTTTCCGCACAACAGTGAGCTGACTGCAGTTTCCCACAGCCATTCCCAAACCTCTACATTCTTTCCTCCTCATTTTCCATAAGCACTTGTTAAAATGAAATAAAATATATTCTGGCCGTAATGGGATTCGAACTCAGGTCCTTATACCTGGTAGGCAGACACTCTACCACTTTAGCCACATCCTCTGACCCTTAAATCAAGAGCTTTAGTAGAGAAAGCAATGTGGCTAGAAAATATGACTTCATATCTACTTAAAAGTCTCAAATCAGTGAATGTCAAGTTAGATGTTGACTGGAAAAAAAAACTAACAGTAGAATATATTTTATATTTTGTTTAAACTGCCATGGTGCCTAGTTTATGTAGTGTTAGTCTCTGAAACAAGCCTGTTATAGTTCTTATAACCTAACATGAGTCATACAACCCTGCAAAAGCAACTACTGAGGACTAAGAAAACTATGAACAGTTACACTGGAACCCAGGACCCAGCCCCCATTGTGAGTGACCCTCCAATTTTGTAGTTGTTCCAGTGTGGTGGGGGGAGGGAAAGGTGACAGAGAATTAAATATGAAGAGCTGCTGTCTGTCTGCTGTCTGCTGTCTGAACAACTTGTCCTCCCTAGTGGACGCTTGTGGACTGCCCTGGTGGTTCTGGGTAGTGACCGGCACTGTAAGGCTCGGGCGCTGACCGCTGTCATCCTTCTGCTGCAGGACATCGTTCTGGAGCTCCTGAAGGAAGCCATGATGGCCAGCCTCAACAACACACAGGGCTTCCTGATTGATGGCTACCCTCGGGAAGTGAAGCAAGGGGAAGAGTTCCACCGCAGGGTGAGCTGCTGTGACTGCAGGGATTGCTCCAGAAGAAAAATAGGGTGCATTATTGTTGTTGGAGATAAATGCAAAGCCTAGCCCTTTCCTAGTTACATTAATCAAACCTTTCTATTACACATGGCAGAAATCCAATTCAAACTAACCAGAGAGAGAGAGAGAGAGAGAGAGAGAGAGAAACAGAGAAGAATATTTAACTGAAATACACAGTTAGATCTTGGTATTCAAATTTGCTCATCAAGGTTCTTCCTGTTCCTGGCTCATCAATTGCTTTTCCTTCTCATTACCAAGATCCACAGAAGCGTTTCACACACCCAGGGCTATGTTTCATTGTCCTGGATTAAGTCTCAGCCATCTCTGAACCTTTCCCTGTGGCCAGGGGAAAAGGGTGGAGGGGGAGAGGGGAGAGGCAGCCTGGAGGAACAGGGATGGGCAGGGTGGTATCCCACCAAGCCATGCTGACTGATGTGTACAGAGAATTACCCCGGGAGGACTAGGGATACGTGTACGTAAGAAGGGAGCTGGGAATGCTGGGTGAGCAGAACCTCAAATACCACTCAATACCCCAACCTCCCACCCTCCCCAGCCCCACCCTGTCCTGGGAGGAGGTGAGTAAGAGCCATTCACAAGGAGCGGCAGGAAGGGACGCCCACTCCAGCTGTAGGCATTGACCTACTAGGAGCAGGTTCTGGGCTTCACTGCACACTACAGACTTCACACGGCACGTTTTACAAAGGTTGAGATGGTGTTAAGCAATGTCTGACTCGAAAACCCAAAAGAAACTTCTGTTTTTAGAACTGTGGTCTCTCTAAGCCAGTTTTCTATTTTCATATGCATCCTCTTCTGGGATGCTTGGTGGCTTTGAGGGTTTTGCTTTTGTTTTATACTGGCACTGGAGCTTGAACTCAGGGCCTCGTGCTCTCAATTGGCTTTCCCACTCAAGGCTGGTGCCCTAACACTTGAGCCACACCTCCACATCCGGCTTTTTGCTGGTTAACTGTAGATAAGAGTCTCATGGACTTTTCTCCCCAGGGTGGCTTCAAGCCTTGATCCTCAGATCTCAGCCTTCTGAGTAGCTAGCATTGCAGGTGTGAGCTATCGGCTCCCTATTCATGGGTTGGGTCTTTTTAAATAGATAAAGGATGTACAGCCTGCACGCAAAGGTGATGGATTAAGCAGAAGGGCATACTGTTTTGATGCTAGTCATATGGCTGGTGACAACTTGCTGTTGAGTGACAGCTGCTGGTGGGAATGAGTATTGAGGAGTCTCATCTCCTTCTACTTCTGCAGCCAACACTGCAACAGTGAATTGGACTGTGTGTCCCTGGGGTGAGTTCCACTTCTCTCTGCCTCTGTTCTCTTCAATGTTCAGATAGAATCTCCATTGCTCACCTTCCCTTCCATTTGCCTCTTGCAGACAAAGTCAAAGCAAAGCTTCTTGGGCATCGTAGGGGTAGACAGGGAGACTGGAAATGTGTGACTATGGTGGTCATAGCAGCCTTTAGGTGTTTCCCCCTAAGAACTCTAAAGAGCTTTCTTCCACAAAGCAGCCCACCTCAAAAGTACAAACCCACAAACTTGGATGTAAGTCAACTTAGGATTAGTTGTGGGTGGTTGTTGTTTAATGAGACCGGGTCTGCTAAGTAGCCTGGATAGGACTCACGCCCAATCCTCTTGCCCTCAGCCCACGGAGGCTGGTATTACAGGTGTGTACCTCAATTCCCAGCCAACAATATAAAACAACTCATTTTGGAAAAAATTATATTGGGGAAAATTGTTTGGTTTGGCTGTTAAATGTGCATAACAACTTTTTCCAGTGTGAACCACTTGTCAGTGTTGCGTTGGATGATAGTAAGTGCACTCATGCCATTGTGTCATGCTCACAATAGTCCATCATCTTGCTGACCTGAAGCTCTATACTCACTAAACAACTTCCCACCCTCCCCTACCTCTGCCCCTGGCAGCTGTCATGCTACTCTCTGTCTCTATGAGTGTGATTATTCTAGGCACTTCATATAAATGGGGGGAGCATAGCACCTGCCCTTCTGTGACTAAGGAAAAGGTCCCCAGAAGCATCCTTAAGGACACTAATGGCTCAAGCCCATAATCCTAGCTATTCAGGAAGCTGAGAACTGTTTGAAGCTAGCCTGGGCAGGAAAGTTTGTGAGGCTCTTATCTCCAGTTAATCACAGTTAATCACACACACAAAAGCTGCCTCAAGTAGGACAGCACCAGTCTTGGGGGGAGGGGGTGGCCCGAGAAAGCTAAGGGAAAACTGCCCTAGCATCTGTACCATTCTACGTTCCTCACAACAGAACAGGTAGATTCCAGTTTCTCCTCACTAACATTGTTATTGGAGACAGGTTTTTGTGTTTTGTCTGTACTTGTGCATTTTGACAGTCACCATCCTATAGTAGGTAATAGGTGAGCTTTGCTATCTCCATGTGTTTGTGCATGTGTTTGTGTGCGTGCACTAGTCCTGGGCTTGAACTCAGGGCCTCCCCACTCTCTTTAATCAATTTTGCTCAAGGCTAGTGTTCTACAATGGAGCCATAGCTCCACCTCGGCTTTTTTTGTGGTTAATTGGAGATAAGACTCTCTTGGGCTTTTCTGCCTGGGCTGGTTTGGATTCTTAGATCTCAGCCTACTAAGTAACTAGGATTACAGGCATTAGCCACCAGCACCTGGCTCCATGTGGTTTTGTTCATTTATATATCTTCTTTGGGGCAATGACTATTCATGTTGTATCTTTGTATCAGGTCCTGTGTCTTTTCTTGTTGAAACTGTAGGAGTTTTGTTTTGTTGTTGTTTTTTGTTTTTGTTTTTCTTTTGTTTCTTTTGTCAGTCATGGGCCTGAACTCTGGGCCTGGGCACTGTCCCTCAGATCTTCAGCTCAAGGCTAGCCATCTGCTATTTGAGCCACAGCACCACTTCCGGATTTTTCTGCTTATGTGGTGCTGAGGAATTGAACCCAGGGCTTCATGTATGCAAGGCAAGCACTCTACCACTGAGCCAACTTCCCAGCCCCATTTTAGGTACTCTGTATCAAGGTGGGGGGGGGGGGGAAGGAGAACCTTTTTCTCTGCCAAGGGGCCTTTTGGGTATTTATATAAATGGTATTCACAAGCCATACAAAATGATTCACTTAAAATCAGCCTGTTATATTTTGTCAAGCATTTAATTAATTCACCCCTCATGTGAGGCTGGAACTGCTTCTCTTTGGTGAGGCATGACTATTGATGTTGCTACTCACAACTGCTTTTCCAAGTTTGTCAGTCTGGAGCACAAGTGGCCTTTTTTGTAATGGTATGTCTTGAAAAGAACAGCTTGAAACAGTGAAGTTGCCCCATACACAGATGTATGTTTCAATGCATGTCCCCTCAAGGTTCATCACTGCTTATGTAATATTTATAGAACACAAGCCCTGGGGGGCTGTTGTAGCTAGCTTTCAGCTCATCGTCACTGCACAGCTGGATGATTCCATGTTCTAGATTATCAGGCACCTCAGCTGCTTTCCACATCAAATGGTATAGCAAAGACGTACAGATCCACTTGTTTACTTTTCATGTCCTCGGCTCTCTCATTAAGTGCCTCCATTCGTTTCAGATACACACTAGCAGTGTGCCTTAGAAGGCTTTTGTTCTTCCAGAGTGGAGAAATGTGCCACACTTTTTGGTACTTTGTCCAGCCTTAACTCAACTTCAGATGATTTCACATTTGAAAGCTGAAACCTGCTGGTTATCATTTACCTCTGAGAGGTTCTTGGTAACATCCGCTGTGGATGCTGGATCTCACCATTACTTGCTGCCATTGAGTTCCCCTGTCAGTTCTGTTTTCTCTTCATGTCCATGAACTGCTTGGCTTCATCCTGCAGCTGGTGAAAGCCCATGAACATGCCCCGTTGACTCAGCCACCGTACATCATGGTGATAAACAAGATCATGGAACTCAGAATCAAGATTCCAGACCCTCTGCTTTTGACAAAATGTGTGCATACCCTTTTGTTGACATCCCGTTGTTGAACCACAATGACTGTGCACAGAGCAGGGTCATAAATTAAATCAACTTCCATCAAGATGGAGATGACTCAGTTCTTTCCTGACAAATATATTTAGCCTTCTGTTTGAGCCAGCCATGGCTGGAGTTCCCTCTGTGGTAAGACCAAATAACTGTTCAAATGTTAAGTGTTTTTCATTGATAAAAACCAGCCTCTCAAGCAAGTCCTCACCTCTTATAGGAGCCATGCCTGGCTTTCAGTGACAGCAATTTCTCTCTAATGTCAAACTGCAGTTATCCCACAGGTAAAAACAGCCCATTGGGTAGTGTTTGTTATACTTATTGTTTTCTCACCAGCCAGAGAGAAAAATTGGAAATTGTCCTGCAGAATCCTTCTATGTTTTTTCAATATCTTATACGCAATCAGTAATCTGATCTGAGCTGATTTTCCCAACACTGAGACCATTTTCTTTTGTCTGCTGCTAACACCTCCATTGGAGCTAGCATGCATGCATTCACAAACTATCTCTCTACCTGGGAGCTTAGCTTCTTTGTGATTAACTAGCTCTCTATACAGCTCGTCTGAATGACAATATCTCTGTCACTAGGAGACCCAGCGAAAGCTGCCTGTGATTCCAAATCCACTAAAGAACATTGATTTTATCCAGACACACGTGACCTCCTGATTTATTGAGTTTAGTGTGTTTTGAGCTGTAATGAAGGTCCAGATTGGCTCCTCTTCTTACTGCGAATGCATCACCACAAACTGGGCACATGGATTTGACTTTCATTTCACCAACAAGAAAAAAAAATCATTTAGCCCATGAGTAATACTGTAAATATCCAAATGGCCTTTGGCAGAAAAACATTTCTCCCGCCCTGACATAGAGTCTCCCAAGGGAACATCTTGAAGGCACATCATTCACAGGGCTGGGAGTCAAAATACTTCGAACTGTGCCTTTTCCATATATGAGCATGACCCAGGACAAGTTACCCAACATCATA